ATTCCTGCTTCATTGCAGGGAGCTGAAGGGGACATCTCAGTCTTTTAAAAATTAGTTTGCCCCACCACCTGCCCTGGGACACTGTCCAGAACCTTGAGAGTAGGAAAGATTAATTGCCCTTCACTTCCATGTACAACAAAATTACCACCAAAAAGTTAATGGTTATTTTTCCTATAATTACTTGCGGAAGCTTGTCGGCTGTGGAGTAGGGCAGCTTCTTGGGTATTTTTCCTTTACTAGTTTCAAGAGCTGTTTGTATTTCTCCTTTTCTCCTCGCTGAACATCCTAGCAGAATGGAGGGAAAAAACGAACAGATTAGAGACCACTGCATAGGAAACAAATGTTTGCAAGCTGCATAGCGTGCGGACTGCACAGGCTCCTCCCAAAATACCGGCACGTTATTCACATTTACTTTAGCAGGGATTGCCACACCTTCATTGTGTGTTAGCCCTGCTCTAGGAACTCGTGTCCCACTATAAAGCTCAAAATGCCTTCTGCAACTGTTTCCTCAAAGAGGGGCCTCTTCTCTTTAGCTGTGGTCTGCACCTCTTGCATAATAATTCAGGCTAATGAGCATTCCTGTCAATATACATAGCGATTGGGTGCTATGAGTCCCCTGGGTATCTTAATCATACTCCACAGCTTGCCGTGGCGTGCTTCTCCAGTACGTCGGTATACATTCTTCTCCCACGTAAGCTAGGTTTATCAGGAATTTTCCAATAGTTGCTTCAGATATTGTAAGGAAAGGACAGGGAAAGACCTCTCAGTCCTGTACGGAAGGATTATCAGCAACTGAGTGCTTTTTTGCCTACATTATTCTTTTAAAGTTGCTACGTAACGATCACCGTTGAGGTTAAGGACAAAATAGTGAAACAACTCTGCAACAAGTATTCACTTAGTGACAAGGCAGTACCGCTCCACTTACAAGTGAAACTGGCTGAAGGGTCCTCCCCCAGTACACCATTTCTATGAAAATGGTTTAAAATTCAGTCTTTTGGCAACAAAGCACCGCTTTGTTCCAAGACTTGCTGCATGTAAAATGCTACACACCGATTTTCCAGAGGCGTTCCTTCAACTTCATTAACTACACCCACTGTGCTCTTACAAACGGCCACTTCAGCATTTACATACAGTTTTGTTATAACTGCTAAGTTGTTCCATTTAAAAGACACCTTTCTCACCCCCCGTACCTCTTCAGCAGTACAGAAAAGCCTCCCCATTTTGCTGACTTCTGAAGTCGTGGATGCTGGCCCAGAGCGCTCCTTAATGGGTGGCCTCAGTGTTAAGATGTTGTCTGGAGCAGGTT